AGGGCACCCAGGCAAGCCAAGGGAAGGCATGGGGGTGTGGCCTAATATGCTAATGAGTTTCTGCTGTTGGGTGTGGCCTATTATGCTAATGAGTTCCTGGTGGGCTTTTTCTACAAAAAAAGTCCTGGGCAGACTTATCCACCCCCCAGTGAGAGACTGTCTGGAATTAGGCCAGATCAGAGCAGTGGATCATTCTGAGATGCGGCAAGCAGCCTCCATTGTGGATCGTTATTTAAGGGCTTACAGGGGTCTCGGTTTACTTCATCTGCTCTTTGTTGCCCTCAGTTTGGGAAGGACGGCTTCAGACCGAGTTTGGGAGACCCTGAGAAGTTTTCAGAAGGCAGGGATAGTATAGCTCTAAATGTGTGCACAGGGGTTGTTTGAGGCTTGGGGCTCTTCTCTTTTACTGGACTTCCATAGGAGAAAAAATATATATGCATATATAATATATACGTACATACCACGCATACTTCTTTATATCTTTATAACTTTGGGTTTAAAAGGCAGGGCCATTAACAGCGGGGGAATAAGTGGTGGGATTTCACAATGGTGCCCGAGGGAAGATTAATACCTTAAAAATCTTAACATCTATGGTTTGCAGGATAGTTTAAGAGGGCAGACATGTTGGTCTACAGTGGAAGAGCTGGATTCGAGTCCAGGGGCACCTTAAGATTTTCGGGGTATACGTTTCTGAGATCTTGGCTCCCGAAAACTTATACCCTGTGTTATATATTGTGTTATATGGATAGCCTGAATTGTAGAATGAGCCTGAGCTTTAGTCACAAGCTCCATAGACTCTCACTATACTGAAATCAGCAGCCTGATTGGCTGCCCTTGTGCAATGGACCAATCAGGGAAGACTATGACTTTCGGTGGGAACAAACCCTGTTGGTCCTAAGCACTCACTGATGATTGGACCGTACTGTTCTAGGGGTGTGGTTTAGCCAGTTCCAAACTGTATATAAGTTGGGGTTGTTGTGTGTGTTCTGTGCTGTTATGTGTTCTGTTCTAATAAACTGAAATCACTGATTAAAGAAAGAGCGGCCTGATCTTAAGTTACAACGCCCTGAAAATCTTATTCTTCTCTAAGGTGCCCCAAGACTCAGATCTAGCTCCTCTATTTGATTTCTATTTCTCCCCTCTGACTCGTTCTGAGGATGTGAGACAGATTTCCCCCCCTCCACCAAATCTAAAGTCAGGCGTCCGCCCCTGTCATCTCCCTCTGCTTTATGAACACGCAGCCTAACTGCAGATACTGCATAGCAGAGCTAGTGTACTGAGGCGAAGAGTGGATCAGATCTGGAGCAGGACTATCTGGGTCCTGCTCTTGACTCAGGACTGGGGCTCACTAGATCAGGGGTGTCAAACTGATTTGTTATGAGGGCCGGATTTGACATAAATGGGACCTCGTTAGGCCTGGCCGTGTGTGTCATAAAATGTAATGCCAGGTAGCGGAGATATAAGCTTTATAAAGGACACAAACACAAAAGATTTTTTTTTGCTTAAAATAAAAATACCCTTAAAATATTAGCTGTGTAAGCTGCAAACCTACTTTTGATTTATTGACATTCACCACAGAAATCTCATGCTCAGAGTTCTGAGTCTAGGACCCAGGTTAAAACATGAAATAGCCGAATGATTAAGAGAGTCTGGCAAACCAGAAGCAGAACTGGAAGCAGGATGGCCAGTTCCACTACAGGCCTGATGGAAGCCCTCTGAGGGCCTGATCCGGCCCCCGGGCTGCATGTTTGACACCCCTGCACTAGATGGTCTTGTGCATGACACTGGGGTGGGTCTTGTCGCTGTAGTACCACTCTGCTGAGCAAAGTTGGAGACTTTCATCCAGTCTAAGGAGACTTCTTCCAACTTCAGTCTTTCCCATTGGAGTAAGAGTCACTTAAGCTGGAGAACATTCTTTTATACTGCTGGGGGGGGGGCAATGCTGTCTGGTTCACACCAGCCCCTTTATGAACCTGCATCTGGAATCACCCAGGAGGGAAAGCAGATAGGGGTGAGGAGATTTGGGATGAGTTGACCTCCCCATGCATATAACTGTTCTTCCTGCAAAATTGTAGCCTGAGAAGTCTACTTTTAATTTTTTTAAAAACCCATTCTTGGGGCTTATTTACATAGACCGGCATGTGAAAATGCAGTTTTCATTGGATTCAGCACAACCTACGGGTGATTAAATGGGCACAGCCTTGACAGCCTTGTCCATCGTTTTCATTTCTGGTTAATCAAGCTCGTCGTAGACTAGGCTCCTGTGTGCCTGATGGTCCTGTCCGGAAAGAAGTGGTCTTTTTATTCCAGCTAATTAGGCAGGTCTGTCTGGTGAGAGTCCCCAGACAACCTACACCAGTGATGGCGAACCTTTTAGAGACCGAGTGCCCAAACTGCGACCCAAAACCCACTTATTTATCGCAAAGTGCCAACACAGCAATCTAACCTGAATACTGAGGTTTTACTTTAGAAAAAACAACTCATACATTAATTTAAGATGATCCAAACAAAGTAAGGAAAGCAATCCCAAACGCTTTCGCTTACTTAAAATTATTTGGCAGAGAATTCGACACTTTAATGATGGTCTGGGCCTGGCTGGGGCGATGGGACACGTGCCCACAGAGAGGGCTCTGAGTGCCACCTCTGGCACCCGTGCCATAGGTTCGCCACCACTGACCTACACGAAAGGGCCCTTTGTGATGGAGGCCATGTGCATACGTGATGTGGAAGTGCCGTCCTTCTCCCACAACGTCTCCCTTCCTTTAGCGAGAGGAGAACTGTGAGGGCACGCAGCAGAGATGCTTTGGCAATGGCACCCATCCTTGAAAGAGGCTTCATCCCATTCTGGAGTCGAGTTAAAAATGTTGTCTGTCAAAGAGAAATATCTGTGCTGTAGAAAAACGCTAACATGTAAGTCATTGTCCTAACAGTCTCGCAGGGCTCTTTTTGTAGAAGAAACCCAGCAGGAACTCATTAGCATAATAGGCCACCCCCAAAACCAGAAACTCATTAGCATATTAGGCCACACTCCTGCCAGCACAGCTCATTAGCACATTAGGACGCACACCCATGTTATCAGAAGTGTGGTTATCCAGCCACACCCACCTTTTGCTTCTTATTCTGTTTACCTTGTTTGTTCTCAAAACCCAGGGCTTTTTTTTGGAGCAGGAACTCCTTTGCATGTTAGGCCACACACCCCGAATGTAGCCAATCCTAATGAGTTTCTGCTGTTGGGTGTGGCCTATTATGCTAATGAGTTCCTGCTGGGCGTGGCCAACCTGGGACCCAGCCGGAACTCCGTTCCTGTGCGTTCCTGCCCAAAAATAGCCCTGTCTAGGAGTCTAATTATAATTGATACTCAAAAGTGTATTTAGTAAGATGTTTGGCTCTTGCTGCTTTCCCGAGTGATCGTTTATCTTCCTAGTTCCACTCAGTTATGCGCTGACTCCAGTATTTTAATAGGGAAGCAACCGGAATGTAAGTGTCCCTCTGCACGCTTGGTGGCACGTGAAGGTGAAACCAGGTTTTTTTAAAAAATAAAACTTTTGATAACGGATGGAAACTAAGAAAGCTTCTGAGCTTCATTTCATAGGCCTCCCAGTTTAATAGTGAAAGTCAAGTTTGGCAGGAAGGAAGGAAGAATGGATTAAAAGCTTAACTCCATCAAAGATAGATCCAGGTGGGCAGCCGTGTGGATCTGAAACTGTAGTACAAAATCAGAGTCCAGTGGGGCACCTTTAAGACCAACAAAGGTTCATTCAAGGTATGAGCTTTCGTGTGCAAGGCACGCTTTGTCAAATACATTGGAGTGGTGTGTAAGGTTCAAACATATAGACAGGGAAATTAACATGTAACATGACGACGTTTAGGATATGCAAAGTCCGAAATAACAGACTAAGGTTATAAGGTCAATAGCCACTGTGTGACACAGAGTGTTGGACTGGATGGGCCATTGGCCTGATCCAACCCTGACTTCTCTTATGTTCTTAATAAATATGTCCGAATAGCAAAACGTTAGCTCTTTTATACTGTGCTTGTGCCCATAAATAGATCCATGTATATAACCAGGCTCCCATGCGTATATCACTGATTAGATCAGGAAGTCTGGCCATAAAGTGAACACACGTTCAACCGTGCCCTGGGATGCTTGTCAGAGTATGGGTGCCCATCCGCCTTCAGTCCCTTGCTTTCAGTGGCACGGGCATCCCAGTTCCCACCGCTGTCCATCTGGTTGATGGATGCTGCGGCTTGTCATGCAGAATCAGCCTTGCCTAGTGGTTGGAGGGGAATCTAGGAGACCCGGGTTCGAATCCCCACTCTGCCATGGAAGCTTGCTGAGGGATCTGGGGCCAGGCACACCCTCTCAGTTGAACATACTTCAAGCAGTTTGTTGTTAAGGAGAAGAGGAGAACAACGTAAACCGCTTTTGGCCTACACTGGGGAGAAAGGTAAAGGTAAGGGTTCCCTTGCTCGAAAGCCAGTCGAGTCTGACTCTAGGGTTGCAGTGCTCATCTCCGTTTCAAAGCCGAAGAGCCAGCGCTGTCCGAAGACGTTTCCGTGGTCATGTGGCCGGCATGACTAAACACCAAGGCGCACGGAACGATGTTACCTTCCCACCGAAGTGGTACCTATTTATCTACTTGCAATTTCTTGCTTTCGAACTGCTAGGTTGGCAGGAGCTGGAACTAGAGATGGGAGTCCGTCATGCAGCACTCGGGTCTCAAACTGCTGAACTACTGACCTTCCACAATCTGCAGTTCAGCGTCTTAACCACTTGTGCCACCGCAGCTTCTACTGGGCAGAAAGGCAGGGTATAAATGAATAAATAAATAAATGGGCAGATACCTTTTCCTAAGCACAACTACAACTGGATTGGGCTGTTGCTTTTTGCAGTAAATGTATCAAATTACCACTTGAAAAGGGTGTTAATTTTCCTTCCTTCCTTCCTTCCTTCCTCCCTCTTTCTTTCCTCCCTTGTTTTTGTGTGTGTTTACTTCCAGATGGGATACACTCCATTACATGTTGGCTGCCACTATGGAAACATCAAAATAGTCAATTTCCTTCTGCAGCAGTTTGCAAAAGTTAATGCCAAAACAAAGGTGAGACTCCACTTGTTTCTTCTACTTACCTCCCCCCCCATCCCAAGTGGTCTTGGCTTTGAAAGGTGGGGGGGGGATATCCCATTTACAATTCCTTCTTCCTTTCCCCCTCCCTCCCATTTAGAATGGCTACACCCCCCTTCATCAAGCAGCACAACAGGGACATACCCATATAATCAACGTCTTGCTCCAGAATGGCGCGTCACCCAATGAGCTCACTGTGGTAAGTGAGATGCAACAGGGATATTATTCTTGGCCGTGGTTTTGGGTCGCGTGGGCGTGCTGTTCCACTTGGACTGATTATGTTGCTTTTGTAGAAGGCTGGTGGGAAAATGGTGGGAGTATATACACAGACACACATCAGTACACTGTTGCGCCGCAGGACCATAATGGCCAAGCATCTTTGCAGGCAGCGATGTCTAAATGAAAACAGAGCCCTGAAAGATTAGGGCTCGTGTACCCCGGCATTTCTCTACCATGCCCTGTTTAGCAAAGCTGTTCCCAGTTCTTTTTGTATCCAGGGATAACAGTTTTTAGCAGTGCTCTGCTGCTGCTCTGGATCAACATATGCATAGACTGTAAGGCTTCTCGGTATTTAAAATCCGCTGTCTCTTTCAGGCCCACGCAGCATAGTACTTTCCTCTGTTTTCCCTTTGCTTAGCGCTGCTTTAATCTTGATGTGGCAAACGAGTTTCCCGCTGCTGTGCTCATGTTACACTGTGTATTCTGTGGGCAGGCGGGCATTTCAAACACTGGAAGCCATGACCAGGAAGCCCTGATGGGTCCTTGATTTTCAGTGCACATAGCATCTTTAAAGGTAAAGGTTTCCTTTCTCGAAAGCCAGTCGAGTCTGACTCTAGGGTTGCGGTGCTCATCTCCGTTTCAAAGCCGAAGAGCCAGCACTGTCCGAAGACGTTTCCGTGGTCATGTGGCCGGCATGACTAAACACCAAGGCGCACGGAACGCTTTTACCTTCCCACCAAAGTGGTACCTATTTATCTACTTGCAATCTCTTGCTTTCGAACTGCTGGGTTGGCAGGAATTGCATCTTTAGGGACGCATTTAGTTTGCTGCAGAGAATGCTGTTGTATATCCACGGAAAACACAAGTGCCACAAAAAAAGTGAAGTAGCTACGTTCATTATACTCCTTCGGTGGAGGAACGTTGTCTGGTAGAAATCAAAGTATACCCACACACTCATTTGCATAGGTATCGTTTCCCCTCCCCCTTTCCCAGAGAACCCTGGGAACTGTAGTTCTGTGAGGGGGCATGGGGAATTTTCCCACCAACTTGCAGTTTCTAGGATTCTTGGGTGTGTTCCCTCTAAGCTGAGTTAGTGTGAGCTAGCTCACAGTTTTTTAGCCTCCGGCTCACGCATTTTTGTCTCAGTTCAGGAAGGGATGGCTCCAGAGCAAACTAATTTATGCAGCAGCCAAATCGCTCGCTCACAACTTTAATGCCAGGAGCTCACAAAGTAGAATTTTTGCTCACAAGACTCCACAGCTCAGAGGGAACATTTTATTTATTTTGGTTAGTTAGTTAGTTAGTTTGATTTGTACCCCGCCATCCCTGCCAGAGCAGGCTCAGGGTGGCTTACACAAAATTGCAACAAGTAAATAACAGATAAAAACATCAATATAAATACCCTCATAAAACACAGCATAATTACTAAAACCAATTTATATGGGGATGGCAGTACAATAGTAGCAGTAAACATAGATTACATTTCAAGTGGTATAAAGCTGATACAAATTATTAACGTGTGTATGGCCTTTGGACTTGTACTTCTTGAAAAATTACGTTTCTCTCATCCCTTTCTGTTCTGGATCATGTTAAGAGTTGCATACAGATTATTCCTAATTTGGGGATTGGCTGTGCAGCTTGTTTGTACATGATAGTTACAAATTAAGCATTGATTGTCCTGAGAAGCTGTGAGGCGGACTTCCTGCCTTGGGGGCAAGCTGCAAGTGTTATACAAAACATTAGCTCCCTGCTGCAGGGTTTGCAGCTCACAGCGGTTTTTGAGCTTTCACCGAGACACGTTTTCTGGAATGTAAGCAAACCGTATTAGCTCTCTCCCACTAGCGGACTGTTGAGCCCTAGATCTTGTTCGTAGCGATCTGTTTTGATGACATTTCCTGTTGTTTAGAATGGGAACACTGCCCTTGCCATCGCCAAACGACTGGGCTACATCTCAGTGGTTGACACCCTGAAGGTCGTGACAGAAGAGACAATGACCACAATTGTAAGTAAGGCTGTATCTCGGTAGTATATATAAGACCAGTGTTCCCTCTAAGCTGATTTAGGGTGAGCTGGCTCACAGTTTTTTAACCTCCAGCTCACACATTTTTGTCTTGGCTCAGCCAAACGACTGGGCTACATCTCAGTGGTCGACACCCTGAAGGTTGTGACGGAAGAGACAATGACCACAATTGTAAGTATGGCTGTATCTCGTTGGTATATATAAGACCAGCTTTTCCTCTAACAAAGATGTTTTTAACTGGATGCTATTGGAATATACAGTTTTGTTCAGTTTAGAACAGGCCTAGTCGACTTGTCCTCACAACCGTTTCACACAGATTTTTCTACCACCCTGAAAACTTCTCTTTTCATCCCCCCCCTCAAAATAAAGATTCTAGAACTCACGACTACCAAAGTAAGCTTGAAACAGAAAGAGAACTTTCCAGTGGACTCTGTTGCCAAGGAAGCTGCCCACTTCTGACCTAGGCAAACATCCACACAACATCTGACATGATTTCTGTTTTTGATGCTAATATATAAGCAAGCCTTTATTTATACAGGTCACAAAGCTGTATATACAAATATAAGGGATGCAAGGGGACAGTATGACAGCTGTTTAATCTCCATTTAGAGTCACGTATGCCTATGGCCGTCACTACATCACCTGGGAGCAAATTGCACATTTTAATCACTCGTCATGATGGCCAGGTCCGTTCTGGGGAGGGAATGCCACAGTCCATAGGCAGTCTTCCTTTGGGTTCGTGCCAACCTAACCTCAGAAAGAGCAGGCTCCCACAGCAATGACCCTCAAGGACAGCCCCACATAGACCGCATTACTATAATCTAACCTCGATGTTACCAAGGTCACAGTATCTAGGTCAACCTTCTCCAGGCATGGCCTAGAGAAATTTTAATTTTTCATTTTAAGATACAAAGCTACATCATTACAGGATTACAAAGCAAAAATATTGAGAGTGACAGCTGAATTCTTTCTCCACCTGCTACTTCTCTACCTCAGACCTCACCCCACCTGGTGCATACTCCCTGCCCCCCATTCCAGAACCAGCCACTGCTGTGGTGTGGAGGCCTAGAAATGCATGCCTTTTTGTTTTTGTTTCTATTTTGCGTGGGGCCTGGGGGCCTGGATATTTTTCAGAGAGGTGGCATGATTTAGCCTGCCTCTGCATCCCGCATCTGGTATTCCTTGGATGTTGCCCTTCCAAGTACTTGCCAAAGTCACCCCTACTTAGCTTCTGAGATCAGGTTTGCCTGGGTTATCCCGGTCAGGGCAAGAAATGCATGCTTTGATGATATCTTAACTTTCATAACATTATTGGAGAAGTGGCTGAATATGAAGTGGTATTGCTATTTTCTGTGGTGAGTCCAGTGTTCCCTCTAAGCTGAGTTAGTGTGACCTAGCTCACAGTTTTTTAGCCTCCAGCTCACACATTTTTGTCTTAGCTCAGGAAGGATGGCTCCAGAGCCAACTAAGTTATGCAGCAGCCAAGTCGCTTGCTCACAATTTTAGTGCCAGTAGCTCACAAAGTAGAATTTTTGCTCACAAGACTCCACAGCTTAGAGGGAACATTGGTGGTGACCCTATGATAGCCATCACAGCTGTTTCCATCATCAGGCCTTGGACTATGAATGGAACTGATTTTATCATCTGTGGACTCGAATATTCATTCTGCATGCATAATGGAGGCTTCAGGGGGGCACCTCATAGGATTCCCACAAAACCCTACCTTTCCTCTTCATGCTGTAGCCCAGAGGTGCTGCCTTACTCTAGGGTATCCCCAACAGCAGGGGCTTTCTAACCTGAGACCCACTTTCTAACCTGAACCAGAGACCCACAGACTCAGGCCAAGAAAGGCACTCCTGGTTCTGAAACACAGAGCAAGCCATAGCTCTGGAAAAGGCTTTCCATTTTCAGGTGGCATAAAGACAGCCCTCAGAGCAAACCTCCAGTCTTCTAAAGGCTATTCAAAGACCACCTGGCAAATAGCCCTTCTGTCTCCAGAACTTCACCCAGCCCTTTCTGTGTGCACCTATGTCTATGTGAGAATCCCTTGTCTTCACAACTGTCTTTCCTGCTCCTTCCCTCAGGATTCCGAGATAAACCCATCATACATTCAAATGTTTAGTGATCCTTCCTGATGCTAATCAGGGACTCATCTCCCACCTTTTGTCTATACTTGGGAACCTATTCAATCTGCCTTGGCCAGAACCATTAGTGAGCCTCAAACTCATTCAGCCATCTCCAGTAATCCTATCATAGCTATTGTTAATCCAGACTCTGCCCCTCTGGGACCTCATTGGTCACACCTAGCCCATGCCCCTTCTGACAACCACACCCCCTGGGACACCCGATTGGTCCAGGTTAACTTTTGTCTTCACCTGGGGCAAGCCCCTCAAGACCTCCCATTGGTCAGTATTGTTCTCTAACGTCTATATCCGTCCACGCACGTGGCCTCAGAGGGTGTGCCTCTGCCCTGATGCCAACTGGCAGTCCACCCCCAAACCTGTGTTTGGGCCACCATCCCTTCTCCTTGGATTCTGCACATCTGGACAGGTATTACCTCGTCACGGAACCCTCTATTCACTATCAATCACTTCTGCTTTCTTAGTCCTGTATTGCTTGCTCTTTCTGAAGGCTTAGTGTGCTTGTAATTCGGGAAATGCTTCAATAAAACCTATTTAATTTACTCTTCAAATCTGGAGTCTTCCTACTACGTCGGACCTTGGTGTACAACTAGTGTGCGGTCCCTTGTACCCCTCTGGCCTCTCCTGCTCCAAATTTCCCCAAACAAAGAGGCAGGTCATTGGCGGTAGCAGTGTTTCCTCAGTACCTAAGAGCATTATTGCTATGCTAAGAGTGTTCAGGCACCACATACAGGAGTTTGGAGAGGGGCAGGCTGCAATGCAGAATGCTCTAAGGAGAGCCATAAGAGGACTCCAGGTTTGAAGTGCATGGCCTAGTATGTAACACTTCTCATTCCTTTTCAGGTCGCAACAGGAGTATCGCTTAGGTGTTATGGCAGTATTAGGGTTGCTCAGGGGTCATTTCGTAGAAAAAGAGGTGCAGGAGCTCATTAGCATAACTTGTTAGCATAACTTATTTGCATATGCCACACACCCTCTGACATCACCAGAAGTGTGTCAGAAGGCAACACCCACCACTCAGGCTCCACTGGACTGTTCTAGATTGCTAGCTATTGGGGGGAACGTGCAGATCTGTCCTTGCAGAGGAGGGAGAGCTTCTACCTGAATAAGACTTGGTCTTAAAGGTGCCACTGGACTGTTTTGGGCCGGGGGGAGCTCTGCAACTTACCTGGCTGCTTCTTGCTCCGACTGAGGGCTGCTGGGAGCAGGGGGTGGGGCTTGTTGCATGTGCCCGCCCCCTGGGCTCTTTACTGCCGGAGCTCCGCTCCTGTGCTCTCCTGCAGGAAATTACCCCTGGGGTTGCTTGCTCCAGCTTGGGAAATTGCTGGTGATTTGGGGGCCAGTGCCTGGGGAAAGCAGAGATTGGGGAGGCTGCTCAGCAGGGATGTGATGCCACAGAGTCCATCCTCTGAAACATCAGTTTCTTCCAAGGGAACTGATCTCTGTAGCCTGGAGATCGGTTGTAGTTCTTGGGAGAACTCCAGTCTCCAGCTAGAGATCGGCAGGGCTATTTTTGGGCAGGAACGCACAGGAACGGAGTTCCAGCTGGCTCCCAAGTTTGCCACGCCCAACAGGAACTCATTAGCATAATAGGCCACACCCAACAGCAGAAACTCATTAGGATTGGCTACTTTAGGGGTGTGTGGCCTAACATGCAAAGGAGTTCCTACTACAAAAAAAGGCCCTGGGTTTTGACAACAAACAAGGTAAACAGAATAAGAAGCAAAAGGTGGGTGTGGCTGGATGAGCACACTTCTGGTAACATGGAGGTGTGGCCTAACATGCCAATGAGTTGTGCTGTCAGAGGTGTGGCCTAATATGCTAATGAGTTTCTGCTGTTGGGTGTGGCCTATTATGCTAATGAGTTCCTGCTGGGCTTTTTCTACAAAAAATCCCCTGGAGATCGGTAACCCTAAGCAGTATGATAGAGGGGAGGGGAGATTTCCATGGTTTCATCCCGCTACAACAGTGCTGCTCTAGAAGTCAGACCTGGCCGTCGTATGGCATAGGTCTTTCTGACCAGATCATTGCACCTGACCTGGGTTCAGTGACCCCTGCATGGGGGAAAATCCATACATTTGGCCGGCATGCTTGTGATGCCAGGCCTTTAAGCAATCGAGCAAGTATTTGGGATGAACCCATGGAAAAGCAAACCCCACACTGCTGCTGTGAAGTGCAAAAGGCACCAAAGCTTGCAGATCAGCGAGAAGGGATCAGTTGTAAAACTGCTGCCGCCTGCAACTCTCGGAGCTGAAACTCACTTCCAATAGATAAGCAAACTGGTGTAAACCAAAGGAAGCGAACACTGATTGCAGGATGAACCAAATGTGCGTACTTATCTGCTTGCCATAACTGTGGAACTGTTTAGTTTGCTAATGCGGGAACAAATCTGGGAGCTTAAAATCATCCAGACCACCCAGGGATAGATAAGTTGTTGTTTGCTGTTGAGTATTTTTTGGATCAGTCCCGAGACATGAATCTTCAATAATCTTTTGGCAACCGGGGGGGGGGGGGGGGGGGGGGGAGCTACCGAGGAGACAGGCTGATATTCATTAAAAAATATATATCGCATTGGTATCCTGTTATGATACCATAGAGTTTTGCAATATTTCATGAACCCTTCTCCAATATAGCATCACAACTTTACACTTCCACTAAATATGAAAGAAGCTTCCCACCCGTATCTTACATTCCCAGCATTTGTCAGGCATTCCGGGATACATTTTGGCTAATTTCTCTGGTGTTGTATACCACCTATAGAACATTTTATATAAATTCTCTTTAAAAGAGACCGATTTTGTTATTCTTACATTTGTTTTCCATATTTGCAACCAACAGTCAAGATCCATATTATGGCCAAAATTTTGGGCCCATTTTATCATGCATTCTTTAATTACCTCATCCTCCATCTTTATCTGTAGTTGTTCCTGTGCTTTTTAAAGTTAAAATAATAAACTGCAAGTTTGATATTCCAGGGTTTTTTTAAATTTGAAGTGATATTAAAGGGGGCACCAATAGGCTTGCCAAGTCCCCCCGGGGGGCGGGGAGACCCCTGCCCCAGAGGCCCGTTCCCCACCGCCGGCAGATTGCGCCCCGGGGGGAACCCCACCCCCAAAGTACGCGACGTGCACGTCACCCGGAAGTGACGCGACCACGCTGGGCATGCTAGGGGCGGGGCCACGGTCATCCAAGGGAGAAATTTCCCTCGGATGGTCATGGCCCTGCCCCCAGCGTGCCCGGCATGGTCGCGTCACTTCTGGGTGACGATGTTGTGGCCTGCGTGCGCTGTGCGCGCATGCGCTCCAGGAACAAGCCGGGAGCCCCCCGCTCCAGTAGCAGGTAAGACTTGGCAACTCTAGGCACCAAAAGTGAGTTTGCGAAGAGATTTTGACAAATTTAGTGTGACTACTTCTGGCTTTTTGCTTTACTGGCTTTTTGCTGTGAATAAATTTGTTTTGTTTGTAAGTCTGATATTCCCAGTCCAAACATTGCTTTAGCTATGAACTCAGGGCTAAACAGCACAGGACACTGGCAGGTCCTTGAATAGATCGGATCCCCCCCCCTCTTTAAAAATCAGGCGCACTGAGACCCCGTTCCAACAGGACCGTGAAGGGGTGGAAGGATGTTCTGAGCCTGCATAGTGAGGCCTAGTGGCCCCGGGGAAAGCTTGGATTAGGGTGAATACTGGGTCTACATTTCCCAGGCCAGCTTTTGACCCTGTGATTGGTTAACAGGAAATCTGGAGGGAAAACTCGCATCAGTAGAGGAGTAAGAGGTGGTGCCTGGGAAGAAAAGATAAAAGGCCTTGCCCACTCCTAGGGAGCAGAGCTGAGGAGAGGCTGCTGCAGACAGAGGGATCCCTCATCCATAAGGAGTGAGTCAGCTTGAAGCCAATAATCAAGAAACATCTAGGGACAGTTTAGATAGACACTGTGACAGACAGCAAGCAATTGCAGGCTTTTAAGCAATGTTGCTTGAGAAAAGGTGAGGGCCCGATCTGGCGGGAGCCTCTGGGGCGGGGGTTTCCCCGCCCCCCGGTGGGACTTGGCAAGCCTAAGACAGAGTGATCCCTCATCAAGAAGTGGTGGGTCAGTTTGAAGCCAATCAGCTAGAGACAGCTAGGAACAGTCCACATAGATGTGTTAGGGCTCTTTTGTTTGCCTGCCTACCTTTACTGTTCTCATTATTCTACCTATTATTTGAAAACCAGTTGTTACTAGACCTCTTAAATAAAATTGTTTGTTATTCTGCCTGGGTCCTCACGCCTCATTTGGTCACATAAAAAGTACAACCTACTGGGAAAGAGAAAAAGTGGACCTAAGGGGTCGGCTGGGTGCTCTGGTCCCTCTTGAGGAGACCCGTACCAGAGTGGTGGCAGCCTACAGAGAGCTTCCCTGGTCCCCTGCCTGCAACAAGGGAGTTTAAATGTTCTCCCCCCAGTGCCATTAGCCTACCCTGAAACAGCCTCTGGGAGTTGCTATTTGTGCCTTGGTGGGATGAACACACAGATCCCTGCATCAGTATCTGTAAGTTTGCCCCAACAGGGCAAGTAACAGTTCTCTGGCACTGTTTTTGATTGGAAAAATAATACAGAGAAGGATGTAACCTTTTCTGGTGCTGCCATCCTAACTGGAATTTCAGACCCACACACACACGATGCCTGATTTTAAAAAACACATTTAAAAAATGTGGAAAGTTCTGTTCCCAGAATTCCCAGTGTCTCATGTAACTGACCGTTTGCTGGAATATCAAGGAAATAGTATGGTCCTATCTTTCTTGTAAGGAATTACTAGAACAATGTTTATGTATGTCACTGTATGTAAGGGAAAGTGCTATGTAAACACTGCTCGTTATTAACATTTTGTTTTTTCCTACAAAATGCTATTGGTAGTTTCAGGCTGAAAGGATGTTTTGTCGTCTTTCACAGACCGTCACGGAAAAACACAAAATGAATGTCCCAGAAACGATGAACGAAGTTTTGGATATGTCTGATGACGAAGGTATGATGTAACGGTGCTTCTGCTTAGTTTTCATTGTTTGTCATAGCATAACTTAACGGTAAACGTACTTGTCATGCTATTTTTTTTTAACTGACTTAACGTCTTGTCCGCTTAAATTGTGCAGTTCGTAAAGCGAATGCCCCCGAAATGCTCAGTGATGGTGAATATATGTCAGATGGTGAAGAAGGTATTTCTGGAATTTCATTTGTATTGCAGTGGCCTCTGCCCTTTGACATTTCCAATTTCTGTCCTAACATGATAAATCAACGCTGCACGTACACTGCCATGTTGATTGTTTCCATCAGTGGGCTGTTACTTTGTATGTTCCCCTGGTTAAACTCACTGAGATCGTACTGTGTTGCTCAGTGTGGTTGGGGTGACAGCTTAGTTTGCGTTACAGAAGGGCATCCTCGCTATGCCTGTGAAAGACTGCCACAATAATTTTCCTTCCCCCCCCCCCAAGATAATAGGAGTTCAGTTCAAAGATGCTCTTCTGCAACAACATGGGTACTTACATTAATGCAAGGGTCTCCACCGTGGTACCCGTGGGTACCATGGTGCCTGGCAACACTTTTGTTTGGTGTAGTGGTTAAGTGCGCAGACTGTAATCTGGGAGAACCGGGTTTGATTCCTCACTCCTCCACTTGCAGCTGCTGGATGACCTTGGGCAAGCCATAGTTCTGTCAGAGTTGTCCTTGAAAGGACAGCCTACAGAGAGCCCTTTCCCTTCCCCTCCCCACAACAGTCACCCTGTGAGGTAGGTGGGGTTGAGAGAGCTCTCTTGAGAACTGCCCTTGAGAGAACAGCCCAAGGTCACACCAGCAGCTGCATGTGAAGGAGTGGGGAATCAAACCTGGTTCTGCCAGATTAGAGTCCACGCTCTTAACCACTACACCAAAGCAGGGAGGGCTAATTTTAAAAAGAATAGAAGCCTTTTCAGGGTCTGTTCCCATGGCAACGACCCTTGAAGTGCCGAGATCTCAGAAACAACTGCAGTTATCATAGGTGAAAATAGATTTTATAAGGAGCTCTCTTATACCAGGTAAGACTGTGGAACCCTCTAGCTAAATATTGTCTTCTTTGAAGGACAGCAGCTCTGCAATGCCTCAGGCATAGGTCTTCCTGAGATTCTAACTGGAAATTTAAAGGTTTGAACCTGGGATCTTAGCTATCTGCTCTTCCAATGAACAGTACCAAGAAGTACAAATATCTGTTCTTAGTTCATTGGAGAGGGAACCAAAGAAATGCTACCCTGAGATGGCTGATGAATTTTCAGTAAAAATCATCGGTAGTACATGGCCGTGTATATGCAGCAGGCTTTTCTTTCACTAACGTTCCTTGTTAATTCTTTTAGCAATGGTTGTGCTTCGATGCACACTGTAAGTTTTCATAAGTACTGCAATTACTGAGGATAACCATCTGATATTTTTCCAGACCTTTCTTAACTATGTTAATCAAACGCCATTAACCTTCTTGGGGCATTCTCTGATGTTATTGCTGCTTCTTTTAATAAAATAAAATGTTTATGTATTATAATTGTATTCAAGCTGATATCTGTAGTGGGATATACAAGTATTGTTGAAGAAAAGAAAACTGATAGGCGCTTATCAACAGGGAACACATGTGGAACGATTACAGGGCTACGATTTTAGTCTCCAGTCTGTACTCTCAGTTGGATAGCAGGTTCTGGAATTACTTATTGAAATTATTGGTGATACATGACTAGGGCTGCCAAGTCTCATTGAATCGCGGCGGGGGATCGTCATTCTTTACAGGAGCTCTGCCGCAGGGGACGGCAACAGGCGTTGCACCGCCGTCGCCAGGATGTGACGCTACGTGTCGCTCTGGCAACGGGACTCCAAACAGCCCCATTGCCAGAGCGACGCGTAGCGTCACATCCTGGCGATGGCGGTGCAACGCCTGTTGCCGTGCCCCGTGGCAGAGCTCCTGTAAAGAATGATGATCCCCCGCCGCGATTCAACGAGACTTGGCAGCCCTATACATGATCTAAAACAAAAAAGCTTTCATTGGTTAAAAAAACACTATAAAGTATGGAGGACTATATATGCCATTGGAGTCCTGATGTCCTTCTTTAAAATTACTCCTCTGTAATTCCTTGGAAAGTAGGAATTGATGCACTAGGCTGTTATAGCCATGTATTTCTATACAGAGATGACCTTCTCTATATCCTTTTCTCAGGGCTCTTTTTGTAGAAAAAGCCCAGCAGGAACTCATTAGCATGTTAGGCCACACACCCGTAATGTAGCTAATCCTAATGAGTTTCTGCTGTTGGGTGTGGCCTATTATGCTAATGAGTTCCTGCTGGGCGTGGCCAACTTGGGAGCCGGCTGGAACTGTGCGTTCCTGCCCAAAAATAGCCCTGCCTTTTCTTTTAGCCTGTTAACTGATGGTTGACCAGAAGTGTTTGCTTAGCTGACAGTTTGGCTGCCTTTATCTGCAGCCATCTTGGCACGCATCTTGAATCACACAGACCAGGGGGAACTGAAATTGGTTTCTCCGGTTTGTAGACAGGTTATAAAAATCCAGTTTTTAAATCTGACAAATGAAGAGTTTGGGGACTTTGAAGAACCAGACAGATGTGTCTTAGAGACTAGCACTGTTTGCCTATGCGTTGTTTCTGCAGCCCTGTAATGATTGCTCAAACTCTATCTGTGTAAAGAAGATTATTTCAAAGGGACAGTGTCCAAAGGAAACATACCCCGTAAAATCTAACTTGAACCTTCCATTAGTTAAGAAAGATGGAGTAGAAAATATTTTCATATTAGTTTATAGTTGGTTTAATTTTGATGCTCATGTATTCAGACTGCCATAGCAACTATTACAGCTTTGAACAATTATGTTGGGTATTTGCTCCTGCAGACTATTGAGGTGTGTACTTCAAAGGTTTTATCTTCGTATGACCTAAACCCTAAAGGATCCAGGCATTTTGTTCAGATTAATCTGTTGTACTGAGGCTGGGTCAGGAGGGTAACAATAATTGCTGTACAAATAGAATTGTTCCTGCCTAGCTTATTTCATACTCCTTGCTTCATTCACCTTTACAAGAGCCCTCTATAGGGCTCGATCAGGTTAGGGATAGATTTCAGTATAGAAGAGAGGGCAAGTGATAGGCGACTCACTCAAGATACTAAATCTGTTTTTAGAAAACTCATTCTATTCTGGATTGTGCTGTGAGCATTCTGAACTAATTCTGGAACATCCACCACTAGGACCAGTAGTAGGGAAGCCGGCTTCAAGTTGGAAAATTCCTGGAGATTTGGGGAGAGGATGGATTGGATATGTGGGATATAATGTCATACCCTCCAGAGCAGCCATTTTCTCCAGGCTCCACGCGGAGGTTGATATCACTAATGAGTAGGGAGGCATTTGACCTTATCCAGATGTGAATGGAGATTGTCTACTAGACCCACTAAAGCCATCTCTGTCCCGAATCCAAGACTGAACCCAGACTGAAATGGGTCAAAGGAAGATGTGTCGTCCAGCTATTTATGTTAACTGTTCAGGCACTGCCAGTTCAAATAATCTTATCCCAAAACAACAAGTTGTGTAAAGGTAAAGGTTTCCCTTGCTTGAAAGCTCGTCCAATCTGACTCTAGGGGTCGGTGCTCATCTCTGTTTCCAAGCCAAAGAGCCAGCACTGTCCAAAGATGTTTCTGTGATCATTTGGCCAGCATGACTAAACACTGAGGTGCACAGAATGCTATTACCTTCCCACCGAAGTGGTACCTATTTATCTACTTGCAATCTCTTGCTTTCGAACTGCTAGGTTGGCAGGAGCTGTGGCCAAAGACGGGAGCTGTGGCCAAAGACGGGAACTGCCTCAGCATCTTAACCTCTGAGCCACTGTGGCCCCTAACAAGTTTATTTATTTATTTATTCGATTTACTATCCTGCCCTAACCCCTGGGGGTCTCTGCGCGGCTTACAGAAGGTGCTAATCACATTTTTACAGAATCTAACCTAGGGCCACAGACATATAGGGGTGGTGACTACCCTACCAGGCACCCTTTTTCTTGCGGCAAATCTTCGGCCGTTGTCTTGTTCTTTTTGCGGCAGGTATAGGTAAAGGTAAAGGTTTCCCTTGCTCGAAAGCCAGTCGAATCCAACTCTAGGGATGTGGTGCTCATCTCCGTTTCCAAGCCAAATAGCCAGCGCTGTCCAAAAACATTTCTGTTGTCATGTGGCTGGCATGACTAGATGTCGAGGCGCACAGAACGCTGTTACCTTCCCACCGAAGTGGTACCTATTTATCTACTTGCAATTTCTTGCTTTCGAACTGCTAGGTTGGCAGGAGCTGGAACTAGAGACGGGAGCGCACTCCGTCACGCGGCACCCGGGTCTCGAACTGCTGAACTACTGACCTTCCACAGCCTGCAGTTCAGCGTCTTAACCAGCTGAGCCACCGCAGCTCCTATATACTGGCCTATAATTACCCAACACTTTGAGAGCCAATAATGACTTTTTCAGTAAAGGCTTTACTACTGCTTTCTGAAGCTCTTTAGGGAAAACTCCCTTAGACAGTGAGGAGTTAAAGCTGTACATAATGTTACGCTTAGTATTTGGATGGAAGACCACCAAGGAATTCTAGAGTCACTCTGCAGAGGCAGGCAATGGAAAAACCACCTCTGTTCGCCTCTTGCCTTGGAAACCCTACAGGGTCGCCATGAGTCAGCTGTCACTGGACGGCCCTTCCCACCGCCTGTTGGTTCATAGTAAAATGCAGAAACAAAAGCCCATTCCTGCCCAAAAATAGCCCTGGTTATGAGGGCCGGATCTGAGATAAATGTCTCTTTCTCCAGCCAGGACATGTGTGCCATAAAACTTAATGCCAGGTACTGGAGATAGAAACTGTATAAAGGACAGCAGCTGGTAAGCTCCGAGTTGGTGTGTCCTCACTGCAAGGCCCCCTAGGGTGGGCGAGGGGTGCAGAGGAAAACCCACATAGGTGGACCGGAGAGGCAGCAGTGCAGTGCTGGGCAAGTGCTCCCATGATGCTTGACTGCTGCAGACAAAGTTGTTCTGCCATGCAGAAGCCACAATGGAATGGCTCCACCCCCTCCCCCCGGCACTCCCTCCCGTGCACTAGTTGCTCGCGGGCCACATAAGAGCCCTGGACGGGCTGGATCCGGCCCCCGGGCCTTATGTTTGACACCCCTGCACGAGAGTT